GAAAAGAACTGTCAAAAGTCCTGCGTAACAAGGTAATGGAACTTTATAAAGATGGAAAAGGATACAAAAAGATATCAAAAGTTCTGATTATGCCAATCAGTACTGTTCAATAATTTATTAACCACTTTCCGTCTGGCAACTGTATATAAACGTCCGGATGGTAGCAGTGTAGGGGCGGGTTGCCGTTCATAAACGGCGCCCGCCATTTTGGATTGTGCATGCTGCGGAGGACACAGCGAAACACCGATCGCTGTACGGGACCTTAGCAAATCAGTGATCCCATGAATAGGTGTAAGCAAGATGTCACTTCTGACATCATTGCTTACTACATGTGATATCTGTGAATGATCACAGGGATCACATGGTACAAGGCTATTCACAACAGCCTTGTACCATGTGCCAAGCTGTGACCAATCACAGCTCACACAGTATTTCTCATTGGCTGCAAGAATGCAGCCAGACAGATTGAAAAATGATTGCTTTTACAGCCTTTATGGGTGTAAAAGCAATCAGTGTAAAAAATATCTTCATCACCCCCCACAAGTAGTACAGTGTCACTATAGTGACACTGTACTGCTTGGGTGACAGTATGTTGAAAAAAAAAAAAAACATAAATAGTAATAAAAAAAAATAAAATAAAAATGTAAAACAAAAATTTAAAACAAATTATAATTTTTGGTTATAAACTAATTTGGGTTATTTGTTTTTACTAAAAAGATAACTGAATACCTTTTGGCCAAGATTTATGAAGAAAGATTATTTATTTGCAAAATTTTATAAGAAAAACACTTTTTTTCAAAATTTGTGGACTTTTTCCTTTATATAGCAAAAAAAAAAAAAATCAGAGTGGTGAATAAATACCACCAAAATAAAAGTTTTATCTGTCTCAAAAAAATGCTAAAAAATGTATATGGGTACAGTGTTGCATAACCGCGCAATTCTCATTCAAAGTGTGACAGCGCTGAAAGCTGAAAATTGGCCTGGACAGGAAGGGGGTAAATGTGTCCGGGACTCCGGACTTGAAGTGGTTAAGAAGTGGAAAATTCGGGGATCTCTTGATACCAAACCGAGGTCAGGTAGACCTTTAAAGATTGCAGCTACAACTGCCAGAAGAATTGTATGGGATACAAAGAAAAACCCACAGGTAACCTCAGGAGAAATAAAGGCTGCTCTGGAAAAAGACAGTGTGGTTGTTTCAAGGAGAACAATATGACAATACTTGAACAAAAATGAGCTGCATGGTCGAGTTGCTAGAAAAAAGCCTTTACTGCGCCAATGCCACAAAAAAGCCCAGCGAAACGTCAGGGTGTTGTTAGGCATATTGTAACCGGGCTTTTTTGTGGCATTGGCACACTAAAGGCTTCTTTCTGGCAAGTCAACCATGCAGTTAATTGTTGTTCAAGTATCGTATTTCTTTTTTAAATATATATATATGTATATACAGTCAGGTCCATAAATATTGGGACATCGACACAATTCTAACATTTTTGGCTCTATACACCACCACAATGGATTTGAAATGAAACGAACAAGATGTGCTTTAACTGCAGACTGTCAGCTTTAGTTTGAGGGTATTTACATCCAAATCAGGTGAACGGTGTAGGAATTACAACAGTTTGCATATGTGCCTCCCATTTGTTAAGGGACCAAAAGTAATGGGATGGAATAATAATCATAAATCAAACTTTCACTTTTTAATACTTGGTTGCAAATCCTTTGCAGTCAATTACAGCCTGAAGTCTGGAACACAGACATCACCAGACGCTGGGTTTCATCCCTGGTGATGCTCTGCCAGGCCTCTACTGCAACTGTCTTCAGTTCCTGCTTGTTCTTGGGGCATTTTCCCTTCACTTTTGTCTTCAGCAAGTGAAATGCATGCTCAATCGGATTCATGTCAGGTGATTGACTTGGCCATTGCATAACATTCCACTTCTTTCCCTTAAAAAACTCTTTGGTTGCTTTTGCAGTATGCTTTGGGTCATTGTCCATCTGCACTGTGAAGCGTCCAATGAGTTGTGAAGCATTTGGCTGAATATGAGCAGATAATATTGCCCGAAACACTTCAGAATTCATCCGGCTGCTTTTGTCAGCAGTCACATCATCAATAAATACAAGAGAACCAGTTCCATTGGCAGCCATACATGCCCACACCATGACACTACCACCACCATGCTTCACTGATGAGGTGGTATGCTTAGGATCATGAGCAGTTCCTTTCCTTCTCCATACTCTCTCTTCCCATCACTCTGGTACAAGTTGATCTCGGTCTCATCTGTCCATAGGATGTTGTTCCAGAACTGTGAAGGATTTTTTAGATGTCGTTTGGCAAACTCTAATCTGTCCTTCCTGTTTTTGAGGCTCACCAATGGTTTCCATCTTGTGGTGAACCCTCTGTATTCACTCTGGTGAAGTCTTCTCTTGATTGTTGACTTTGACACACATACACCTACCTCCTGGAGAGTGTTCTTGATCTGGCCAACTGTTGTGAAGGGGGTTTTCTTCACCAGGGAAAGAAGTCTTCGGTCATCCACCACAGTTGTTTTCCGTGGTCTTCCGGGTCTTTTGGTGTTGCTGAGCTCACCGGTGCGTTCCTTCTTTTTAAGAATGTTCCAAACAGTTGTTTTGGCCACGCCTAATTTTTTATGCTACCTCTGTGATGGGTTTGTTTTGTTTTTTTTCAGCCTAATGATGGCTTGCTTCACTGATAGTGACAGCTCTTTGGATCTCATCTTGAGAGTTGACAGTAACAGATTCCAAATGCAAATAGCACACTTGAAATGAACTCTGGACCTTTTATCTGCTCATTGTAATTGGGATAATGAGGGAATAACACACACCTGGCCATGGAACAGCTGAGAAGCCAATTGTCCCATTACTTTTGGTCCCTTAACAAGTGGAGGCACATTTGCAAACTGTTGTAATTCCTACACCGTTCACCTGATTTGGATGTAAATACCCTCAAATTAAAGCTGACAGTCTGCAGTTAAAGCACATCTTGTTTGTTTCATTTCAAATCCATTGTGGTGGTGTATAGAGCCAAAAATGTTAGAAATGTGTCGAAGTCCCAATATTTATGGACCTGACTGTATAAATAAAATGGGGGCAGACTCGATGGACCACTTGGTCTTCTTTCTGCCATCACTCCTCTATATTTCTTCTATGTTTGCAGGCTTCCACTGCCTCACTTCCTATTTGCCATTCTACAGGAAGTGGGGAAAATCTCTCTAATACAAAGTCATCAGTAGTAAGTCATCTTTTTAGTGTAATGGAGGTGAGTTATATCAACTGTCAGGTATGTATTGCTGCATGCACCCTCAGTGGGGAGATTCTCCCTCATTTTTCACATGCCAGGACGTACCACGGTGTCACTGGGACAGGAAGCAAGGGGAAATCTCCCCAATGGAAACAAACATGAATAAAAACCTGAAAGAGCTTCTTACCTCTCTCCACTACCCAAAACAACATTTCTGGGAGAAATTTTGGTTAAATGTTTTAGATATTCTTTCTGAACACACATTATTGGTTAGATATGTAAACAGTATATACATTTTGCCTTCAGAGCCTCCTACGAGGATTGTCTTTCCAGAGGCCCGCACACAGGAGCTGGGATATCTGACAGGAGAGAGAGGGTGGAGCTGATGGTCGAGGTGTCGCGTGCCAGTGGCGCTGTGCGTTGGTTTAAAGATGGATTAGAAGTAGATGAAGATGACAATCTGAAGCTGATCACAGACGGGCCTCGCCGGCGCTTGGTTTTGGAACAGGCCGCGGGGGATGATTCCGGGGAATATATCTGTGACACTGACAGCGACTCGGTCACTTTTGATGTCAAGGTATCAGGTAAGGCAATAGAAAGGAAAATAGAAAAAGTTATGACTGCATGGGAAAAGCTCTAAGCCTTTATCCTCAAATCTAACACTGAAGTGTACCCTTAACAGTTAACATGTTACCAAACCCATATCAGTAAAATCAGTCTTTATATGCAGTAAAGCATGCTTGTTATACTCACTGTGGAACATAAGGGGTTAATCCTTCATATTATGTAAAAAGGCTGTTTGATCCTATCTTGTCTGATCCTCCCCTTCTTCTACTGTCCCCAATCCATCTGCTGATAGTACAGAGCTCTAGGAGCCACTCTGCACATGCTCAGTTTAGTGTGTATTGCTAGAGAGGTTTTTTTTTCTTTGGGAAGGTGCATGTTATCAGCACAGGGCCAATCAGCACTGTCCAGACAGAGGTCAGGGGTTATGCAGCCTCTGTCAGAGCAGAATGAAAACTCCTCCTACAAGCTTTAACCAATGCTCAGCTGGACACTGATAGAAGTCACACGACTGCTATATACTGCTGATGAGAAAAGGTATTTAGTAGTTTATATTTACTAAAATAATTACATTTCCATGTTGTGTGTACTGTGGGGAGAGCAGCTATAGTGAATGCAGGGTTTAGTAATTCTTTAAAAATTTTGGGGTGTGAATGCCTCTTAAACAAATCCCAGTTATGTGCCCAATATTTATATTCCCTTTGATCGTCAGCTCCATCTAGTGGCCATAATGAGGTATTTTCCTGAAATGCCGCAATCAGGAAAATACCACAATATGGCCGCTAGGTGGAGCTGACTATCACAGGAAAATACACATATTAGACACAAGGATTATTCACAATAGTTGGGGTATTCACAGTGAATTTTTAATAAATAGACCCCCAAAAAAGGGACCTTTCACTGACTTTACAATTCCTGAATAATTGCTAGGTCCAGTTTAATCCTCTCCCTTCACTCTACCCTTACCCTCATTATTTAGATAATCCTGCAGTATAACACAGAGATCCATTTCTTCTTCTTGTATCACACAGAGCCTCCGGCAAAGTTTGTACCCAGTGGATGCTCCCTGTCTGTGCTCCATGTGACAGAGGGTGACCCCTTAACTATAGTCTGTGAGCTGACACGCACTCCAGATGTCATTCGCTGGATAAAGGATGGTCAGAGGGTGACACCAGATGGTAACATGACCATGGACGATGAAGGTGAAAAGTGTATGCTGAGCCTGTTGAGTGCACAGGCTGACCATGCCGGACAGTATGAGTGCAATGTGGGGACTGACTCTGCTCTTTCCAGGTGTATGTGGATGGTGAGTTCCATCAGATTTGCTCTCTAAGAGGTGCCTTGTGTTTTGGTGTGTCCTTATTGTCTTGTCTTCCAACTATCCTGCATGGGAAACGAGCATACCGTTTAACCTCTTCACCAAGCCTCTTCAGACACTTTTTGTTTACATGTAAACAGCAGAGGTTTTTTTTTGCATGAAAATTTACTTTGAACCCCCAAACATTATACATTTATTTGTAAAGCAGAGGCCCTAGAGAATAAAATGGTTGGTGTTGCAATTTTTTATGTCACACGCTACTTACGCAGCAGTTTTTCAAACACAATGTTTTGGAAGTAAATTTTATTAGCCATAGGTGATGCTTTAAAAGCCTTTACAAAGGAGATTTAATGCTAGAATTACTGCCCATGATCTGACATTCGTGGTGATACCTCACATGTGTGGGACGATCTCTGTATGCGTGCATGCCAGACCGGCATGTGTGTTCGCACGGGGGTGTTTTAAAAATGTAGTTTTTTATCTGATTAATTTTTTTTTCAGTTATTATTACATTTTTTTATCACGTTTATTGTTATCACAGGGAATATAAATATTCCCTGTAATAGCAATAGGCAGTGACAGGTACTCTTTACGGAGAGTTTTTGGGGTGTATCAGACCCCAGATCTTTCCTCTGCTCCTTAAAGCGGAGTTCCACCTGGAAAAAAAATTAAAAGTCAACAGCTACAAAAACTGTAGCTGCTGACTTTTAAAATACAGACACTTACCTGTCCCTCGGTCCAGCGGTGTCCTCACCACCGCTGGTTTCACCAGACATCTTCTCTCCCTGGGCCGACATCTTTAGTGTGGGCACCTGGCTATGATAATTTGTGGCTGCACAGCCGGGTGCCCACTGCGCCTTTACAAGAAGCGCTACGCTTTGTGAATGGTCCCGTAGTCTTCTGGGACCTGTCATGTGTCCCAGAAGACTACGGGGAGGGAGGGTAGGAGGACAACTTCCGATCGCCTAGGCAATCACAGTGGAAGTGAGAGAGGAGTACCTGTCAAATTTGGGTACCCGTTCCTCCCCTGCTCCCCAAAAGTGCCAATTCTAAATGGGGAAGCGGGGGACAAAGGCTTAAAGCAGAACTTCCACTTTTGGGTGGAGCTTTGCTTTAAAGCATCTGATCACATCAATATTGGTGCGATCAGATCCTTTCCCATTTTAAAAATGGCGCTGTTTACATCTGCTTACAGTTTCCTATATCATAGTGGTGATCAGAGCCAATCCGGCCTCTGGTTACCTCTATGATCAGCCAAGAGAGCCCAAGAAAGCCGTGGAAGGCTAATTTGCCACTTGGATTGCTTTTATAAGAAAGCCGACCTTCGGGTCTAAAAAAACAATACCAGAATGATCCCGGTATAACCACCGAAAAGCCAGTGATGTACCCCTTGCTGGTCCGCAAGTGATTGTCTATTGTTTTACTAGGGATGAGTGAACCTGGATCTGCAGACCAATTGGCACACATTTGCCGTTGATCTCTGGATGACTTATGAGCTGTCATGGGGTCCTTTGTACCTAGGACCAATTCCTTTCCTATGTGCAGAATAAGCAGCTGGCCCCTTTCCCATCTCAGGAGGTAGTGTAGGTCCCCAACCCCACCAAATTAATTGGCCAAAAGATGACTAACTTTTTTTTGTGCCCATCATGATATAGATTCTTAAACCGGACTCTGCCATGTTCAAAAAAGGCCTTAAGCTGGCCATAGATGGGTAGAGTTTCGAATGAAAATTCTGGGAAAATGAATTCTACGAAATTTCATTCATTTTTTGAATCATTAGTGGGTCAGATCCACCTTTTTGATCGCAGTGTCAGATTAAGTCAGTAGGAAAGTGACAAGAAAATTTGAAGGAGTGTATGGAAATGTTTTCTCAAATTAACACATTTTCAGCAGTGTATGAGGTTTTTGTTCAGTAAAATCCATTAATTTCAAAAATCATGATAAAAGCAATGGAAATATTTTAAATGACAAATGAATGTTCTGAGAATTTTTCTAAGAAACTTTTCCTAAGACTTTATCTAAGAATTTTAATTTGAAATTCTTTCCATCTATTGCCAGCTTTAGTAAGGGTTCATTCACACTAGTGTTGTTCTCTGAGGAGTGATCTACAGTTGAGCTTGACGACAGCAACAGGAGGTATAAATTCTGCCGTGACCACATAGCAAAACATTGTGCCTGCTGCATGTGTACATTCTTCTGTATCTAAACCATTGGGGGGGGGGGGGGCAGTAAAAGTGCAGCTCAACTGAAGCATTTTACAACCCCCCAACCGATAGCACAATGGTCTCAAAACTGCAGCTCATGCACCAAATGTGGCCCTTTACTTGCCTTTATCCTACTTCTCCTACTGACACCAGCAAGGAGGCACCATTCCGTTTGCTGACACCAACAGTGGAGAACCATTCCTCTCACTGACACCAATAATGATGTCAGTTTTTTCCACTGACACCAATGATGGGGCACTATTTCCCTCACTGACACCAATGATGGGGCACTATTCCTCCCACTGACACCAGCAATAGACAACTATTTCCCTCACTGACACCAATGATGGGGCACTATTCCTCCCACTGACACCAGCAATAGACAACTATTTCCCTCACTGACACCAATGATGGAGCACTATTCATCCCCCTGACACCAGCAACGGGCCGCTATCCCCCCAACTGACACCAATGACAGGGCACTATTCCTCCCCCTGACACCAGTAATGGGCTACTATTCTCCTGAGTAACATCAATGACAGGGCACTATTTCTTTGTCTGACACCAGCAGTGGGGCACGATTTCTCCTACTGGCACTAGTGATAGGGCACTATTCCTCCCACTGACACCAATAATGGGGCACTATTCCCCCCACTGATAGTAACGATGAAGCACTATTCCTCCTTTTAATGATTATAGGCACTGTGTAATTTTTTTTACTTCCACTGATGCCAGGGCATTTTCTACTTCCACTGGCCACTCTAGCCAAGTCTGAAGGACAGTAGACTGGCCCTTTGTTTAGAAAGTTTGGAGACCCCTGTCCTAGTGTGAACAAGTCTTAAATGACGAAGTCTAGAAGCCTTACTCAAAAAAAGGCAGGCGGAAGGCAAAGGACTATTCACCAGTATGTGACCTCCATCCAGTTGATCTTTCCCCATTACTGACTTACCATGCCTTGTTCTGCATTGCGTCTCTATGTGGTGGTGGCCATCTTGGTAGAGACAGGGCTTTGCTTCCCCATGTCCAGCAAGGAGAACAGTGAGCAGCACCATAGTGTCATCACCCAATCTAACTCATCTCCCGAGACTAGCAGTCAGAGGCAGCAGTGCCTGAGATCTTACACTTCTGATATAAAGCTATGAGGTTCTTGGTAAAGGAGTACCTAGGCACACATACATTAGAGGAAGTGTACTGTACGGTTTCAGATGGTACCCTAAAATAAAAAGTAATTCAGGGCACTGCCTAGGCACAAAAAACATTTCTAAAGGTTTCTTATAGCATAGCAAAGCTTCATCAGTTCTGCTTTAAGTCCAGATTAGGTCATCCATCTCATTTTGGTGTTGCACACCCAGAAGGCTATGCACTTCAGGGAACCTACACTTGCCAAAAGTATGTCTGGGGGGGACCTGCTGCACAATGCACACAGAAAGTATACTGGCAAAGAATACTAAGGATAAGAAAGTGGATCTGTAAGGGCACCTACAGCACAGGAGGACTAGGCCAAGACTGGGAAACACGTCACCATTAAAATTTTAATCAGAGCAGGTCCATAGTCATTGGCACATATTGGACATCACATAACTACATACATACACTACAGACATGCAGTCATGACACCTGCCAGAGGAAAATCTTCCAACACCAAATTCTTTGCACAGTAGCTGATACAAGGTGTTGTCACCATGAACACCATGTCCTTTTCACACACACACCTTTCACCATGCCCACCAATCTATGAGGCACCATGGCACATGGGGTGAAGAAAGTCTTTAGCATACTGGAGTCTCAACTAGGGATGATCTCAAGTGAACCTAGACTGAACTCACCTGAGTGTACCAACCAGGAAACTGCCACCGGTACAGGGCCAGTCAAAGGCCAATGAGGTGTTCCCCATCCCTAGTGGAAGGCCCTGGTCACAGATAATTGGCCCAGTACAGTGACTGCTTCCTGACAGGCTGTCATGGTCATGGGTCAGGCTATAGCATTAGAGAGGCTCCCACTAACTCGGCCCTGGATCTTCACCAGAGCTCCTGATGGTGGAAATAGGTTTTGTTGCATGTTAGTACCAGGTTGCAGTCCTCAATCCTCACGATCTGCCCACCAGAAAATGAGCAAGCTGGGGTCCAGTAGCAGATATAGCAGGTAGGGATCAAGCAGTCAAAGATCTGTAACAAGTGTTTGCAGGTTGGGATCAAGCAGAAGCTTAGTCAGGGAACAAGCCTAAGGTCAATAATGAATGCTTATAGGTGGAGATTAGATGGAAGTGTAGTCAAGAAACAAGCCAAAGCTTGGTAATAAGTGGTAGTGAAGATAAGGACATCTGTAGGTACGCAAAGGAGCAAGATATCGGCTGGAGAGAGCAAAATAATATAGAAAACAGGAAGTGCAAAGACCTGGCTTAAATCAGGAACTTCATGGAGGAAAGAGACAAGACAAGATTGTCCTAAGGGATCAGAGAGGGAGCTGTCCAGCATATCAAGTGGCACAGTGAGAAGAACTACAGCTAGACACTGCATAGGTCACAGGCTCAGATCCAGACCCTGACACAGGTTCACTCGGGTGGGTTCGGACTAGATTCACCCAAGCCAGGGGCGGACTGACAACTCATGGGGCCCCCGGGCAATAGGAGATCATGGGGCCCCTGTGTCCTTGCCCCAAACTCAAAAAAGCCTATGAAAAAGGTACCAGGGGCATCTCATGGGGCCCCCCTACTGACCTCAGGCCCTCGGGCAGTGCCCGAGTTTCCAAATGGTCAGTCCGCCCCTGACCCAAGCTCATCTCTAA